TAGTACTCACCAGTAAGGTATACTGTATCATTTAAAGGACTGATGTTCCCTGTGAGATTTGAGATAGCCTCACCTTGTCTCATATATGAGTGTTCAATAACAGTATTTTGGAAAGTAAATATTTTTTTTTTGACATTGTGAATAAAATGACAAAAGATTATGAGTTAAAATTTAGGATAATTTTTTTGATAAATAAAATAATTGACCTTATTTTGTTACTTCGATTCATGTGAATTCATTTATTTAACATTCACGCATATTGTCTTGTGAAATATGAAATTACTTACAATAGGATTGGGAAAATAAAATAACTATGAACATAAGATAAAAATAACAAAAAAAATTCTCTTGTCGATCAATAAGTGGAACAATTAAGAAACATTTAGTATGAAGACCAAAAAATTAATGAAAATTATCAAATAACAGTGACCTTTTTATCAACTGAAGGATTATTATCAGTGGTAGTGTTGTGATCTATTCACTTTTATAAACTATATTATCAGTATTATATAGTTTTTTGGAAAAAAATTAAAATTGAAAAAATTATTTCGAAAGATTACAATATCATTCCTTTATATGATAAAAATTGATGCTACAGTAGTGATATAATAAATATAACCTTTTTTTAAAAAAAAGGTGTTTTAATGTTACTTAAAATAAATAAATATATAACAAGTAAATAGCTTTATTGAAATTGAAGACATTGGATTCAGTTAGTTGAAATTAAAATAATCCTCATAGAATTTATTGATACGTTATATTATTTTTAGTATAAGAATAGATCTAACACTTATTAATATACTACTTAAACAATGTTAGCTTAATTAAAAAGAACTTGAATAATAATAATAATAATAATAGGTTAGAATCACCTTGAGTTCAGTGAGAAATGAATCGAAACCTGGTTATGTAGTAAACAAAACGATCGTTAAGATATAAATATGATATATGTAAAGAATATTATTTAGATTAATATAGAACGCATAAAATGCGGCATCACATATTCAATAATTGGAATTATCAAAGATTAGGAATTGATTCATATTATCTAAAATAAAGTTATAAATTAAGATAAAGACGTAGTAATCAATAAAAAAGCACTCGATAAGTGATTAACACAATTTAACTCATCAAAACAGGAATTCTATCAACTATCTATATGTAAACTTTTCTTTCTTGACTACTTTAGAATAAACTGAGTTGCTGAAGTAATATTGACAAGCACAGTTATGAGAGTATCTAATTCAATGATGCACTTTTATGAATCATAAAAGGATTAAAATAGAAGTTTGCAGTTAGCAAACAATGCAGAATATACATTGACTGGTTACTGACTCATAATCAATGTCATGCATGACTTGCTCTCTAGTGATGACCGAATTTTAGCGACTAATAATACAGGGTTATGGACATTGTTCAGTTTCATCAAGATCATAAATTGATCAGTGTTGGACAACCATTGGAAACCTGGACGACCGATTTGTCCTAATATGGAACTTCTCAGAAGTGCGCATCCACAATCCTGATGGTTCAACAGTGTACTATCTACAACTGTAAACTGACAGGACGAACGGTTGTTTGCATAGCATGCGGTTTATTTTTACTACCCAAGACTATTATCAGATTTGTATCAAGAAATGAAAAACTTTCCAATTGATTTATCTGTCTTCATTGTGATATGGATATATAGCACTGATATTTATTTTAAGGGCTATGACTAATCCCACTAGTAAGATAATAGTAAGGTCTTATTTTGTACAAGTAAGTATATTGGAAAACAAACTAAAAATGACGCATTCGAGGATGCATCAAGGGTGATTGTGGAAAAATTTGTGAATATTGAAATTCAGAAACGATAAAATTTAGAAATAATCTATAAGTTTAGATATTGACTAAGTGTATATTTTTTTAAAACAAAGTATCACAAAATGACGACATCTAGGATTAATCTCAATTAAGTACCTGGCTAGAAACTACCTATAAATAATATGAGAAATATATAAGTTGAAAAACAATGTATTAAGTGCATCGGTATATTTGTTATATACACTTAAATGATAGGAGTTACTACTCCCTTTTCAATAATATAGATTTATAATACTATAATCCAGGATGGTTGGAGGTAGTCAGCAGGAAACCTTGAATTTAGGTTGAGTGCTAGTTAGCGCTTATCAGTAAAGCGTACCTACGATCTTCAGGAAGTTGATGTTCCATGTAGGATTAGGATTTGTTTCGCTCGACTTCACAGTTCATAGTATTACTGCTAATCTATTCAGATTGCAACTGACAATACACAACTTTGGTTATATAATGATTACATGACTTTTGATCTAATGAATGTCAGTTAGCTTTAAGTGTTATTAGTGAAATAAGCGTTCTAAATTACTATTCAAAAGTTTATTACTTCTCTTTCATAAACTACTAAGCCCATTCCAGGACAATTTTCATATAATTACTTCAAGAAACAGTACAATGAATTTACATCTTAAAAAAACCAAACCTTTGTACGGTAAGATATAAAATATAAAAACAGAACAGGACTTTGAAATTCTATGATAAAACATTTCTAGGAAGTAGTAAAAACAACCAAAATAGATATTCTATTTACACATGCCCTCGTCTTACATTATATTTGTTCTTGTTTAGTTTTTTTTGTCACAAAAACCAGAAACATCACATGCATACCAATGAAAAGGTAGTTTAGATAGATTTTTATTTTCCTTTAGAAAAACCAATGATGATTTAATAGAAATCTATAAAACCGTCAGCTGATGAAAGAAATAAAAAAAAGGAGGCATAGAAGGATTTCAATAATTTAGCTCAGAAATTTATATATACAAGTACTGTAATGAATATTTATCTTTAAATGGTAGAGATTAAAGTGTTGCAATGACAGAGATATAATCAAACAATATTAAGTGCAATAGTTGTCTACACTTTGTTGGTAAACATGATTTCATATCGGAAAATTATTTAACCTGATCCCATTCAATAGAACAATAAATTTTTGAATTGTAAAACGAAAGGAAATTATTCATCTGTTCAGTAATTTTGATCAGATCTATTATAGAAACAGTTTTAACGTTGTGTAATATAATATACATTGTGTGAAAAACATTTTCAGTTATTCCAATACAAAATTATTCCTTTTTGTCATAATATAATTCAAACAAATAATACAATTACAAACACATTTTCATTACAATTATGAAATGTGTAAGCAACGGTAACATTAATCTATGTTGTAGTAGCAGTAGTGTGGTGTGTGCTACTGATGTTGACAGATATGAGTAGTATGTATCACCAATTGAAAGTGGAGTGCCTGGTGGTAGAAGGTTGAGAGAATCGAAGAGAACGAGAAGAGTGATTGGTATGAAAACGGAGGAACACCAAAGTCTGAGAAAATTGATGGATATTTTGCAAATGATGTATTACTATATGGGTCTCTGATTTTATCAAGATATTCTGTGGTGTTGTAATAAAATATATTTGGTTGTCCCCACTTTTTTCTCATTCACTACAGTAGCAAGAGTAGTGACAGTACTAGGATTAGTATTATTAGTAGTAATAGTATAAATCCAAAGCTTTTAAATGTTTAATCGAAAACACTTAACAGAATATTGAGAATACTATCTTAAACCATTTAAAATCTATTAAGATATTTTGTGTTTAAAGGAACAAGTACTGTGAGGAAGAGAAAGAAAATACAGATGCCTTATGGTCAAGATAAAAATGAAAGGAACTGAGCTGGTAAAAATTAAAAAGGAAAAGAAATTAGAAAAAGTTTAGAAAAAGTTGAATAAACAACCAACATCTCACTCTCTAATTCATACATTAGAGGTTATGCAGTGTTAGCTGATATACAGTTGATACATTCATATTGTAAACTTTCATTTATTTTGTCAATTAATTATTTAATTCTATTACATTACTGGTTATATCAATTTCAAATGTTCCATATGACCATAATGTTGGATAACTAATAAAATGGTTAGCTCAGTTAACTTAAAGCTAATGGGATACTGAAGAATATTTGGAAAAAATATTCATATAGAAGTCATCTACATATTCAGTAATGTCATAATTATTTAGAATAGATGGATTGTGGTTAGCAATGGAATCCAGAATATGTTTCGTCCCCCTTCAGACTTGTCAACTGGATACACCTGCATCCCACTACTAATGTTCGCATTATGACCCGAACCCAGTACCCTAAGCTTTAAATGCTCAACACGTTATCCATTGAGCAGCTGAGCCCACATAGACAATAACTTATTCGACAGACATGATGTTTATACTATCCCCAATAAGAATTTGAACTATCTCATTGTTGATATTCAAGACTAGATTTTGGTCATACGTTCATTTTCTGAAGATTGCTTAGAAATAGACATTTTCGTCGTAAGTTATTGAGAATAGACTGACTGTGATCAGCAGCGCAATCCAGAAGGTGCATTTGTTTCTACCTCGGAGTCATTCGCTAAGGTTACAATAATTTATGATCGTCTTTTAAAAAACTGAATGCAAATTCATTATGTGAAGTGAAGCCAGCTATAGGATTATCAAACAATATAAAGCACCGAACAAAAGTCTGAAAATCCTTACGGGTACTCACCAACTTTAAAATCTAATAAAGATATGTACACTTTTAAAACACTAAGTTATGAACTATAAGTTTCCACTTTTGCCTTTTACTTTATTTGTGATGGAGTTCAATCCTAATCTATGCCATCCCAATCTTAAACGTGACTTGTTTGACCTAGCATATCACAGACTTCATCAAAAAAGTAGTTAATAATAAGTTTTTTTCTAAAATACTTAGTAAATTATAAAGGTTAACCGAAAAATAGGTATTCGAAGCAGGTGTAATTTTGACTAATACATTAACAAAATTCCTAAATAAGACGAAACACGAGTCCCGGATCAAATAGCCCTAACCAAATATCAAAAAAATAATAAGTGAAGACAATAATATAACTCAAAACTGACAAATAATATACCTTAACAGAACAAACAGCATTTGTATTTCGATGACAGCACTTATGTACAACTGAAAAAGAACCTTTACCGATTTCCTCCAATAAGACATAATCGACTGAAAATGGTTTATATTTTACACCTGACAAGCCAACTAAGCGAAGAAAACGTCTTGCCACTGTAGGAGTTAAGGGTGGAAGATCTTCTGGAACATGTACTGGATTTGCACGATCTGTGTATTAAAGAAGAAATAAGAAAATGGTTATATGGATTGCAATCATATCATTCTGTTACACTTCTGCATATGCGTGATAGCTGAAGTTCCTAAAACAATTATTCACGAAAATGGCAATATATTTTAAGAACCCGAAACAATATTCTTCTCATAGAAAAAAGTTATTAAAGATAAATCATCTTCATCACAAGAAAAACTACGTTTGTCACATTCAATAATTGTTAGTGACTCTTATATTTTATAGTCTTCTCTTATACACATCTTTATCTGAGTGCTGTCAAGCAAGAAACGAAAACCTGTGTTAATCTGAACGCAAGATATAAAGTTTAGGTGAAAGAATTATATAATAAAGTGTTGCGAGCAGTATAAAACTTCCATTGACGACAAACTACAGATGATATTAATAATTATATGATTAAATACTTGTTTCTGTTCATTCTCAACTAAATCAATGTTTACGTTTTCACGCCAAATGCTTCATCCATCCAATTTGAATTTAATAAACCCAGTATGTCTGATGATTGCTAATTAATCTGAATCCCATACTTCTGGCGATTCTCTGGCATTTTTATAGCTCCTTGATCTAAGATTTCAACTTTTCTCCAAACGAATTCGCATCTACAGTAATCAGCATAAATTGATAACGATGAAAGCATATCGTATCGCCTCATTGATAATGTTCATTAACACCTATATAAAACAGATGTCCACCATATATAATGTAATATTTTTCGTTGTTGAAATTCGCCTGGAGAATGTTTTATTTGCCTTTCATCATCCTAATTTTCTAATTAGCACAAAATATAGTGGCGACTGTGTTGGTTGAAAGCTTTTAAGTACTTGGACAACACCATCGATAAGTAATGAGGGTTCAATGTAGATGTATTGGCACGGAATGGAAAAGCAAGGGTATGATACCTACAATTTGAGAACCTCTGGTAGTCAAAACAGCTGTCAACCAATATTACAGTTAGAATCATCAACACCACATCAAGACAGTTCTATTGTACGAAGCTGAAACTTGGAGAACTAGCACAACCATCATCAAAAATGTACAAGTGTTTCTAAATGCAAGATATTCAATATCCGTTGGCCGGATATCATTAGCAACAACATACTGTGACAGAGAACAAACCGTATCCAGCCGAAGAGGAAATTAGGAAAAAACGCTGGAAGTAGATAGGACATACATTGAGGAAATCATCAAACTTCATCATGAGGTAAGCGTTAACATTATGTCCTCAAGGCAAATGTAACGGAGGCAGACCAAAGAACACGTTGCGTCAGGAATCGAAGGCAGACATCAAAAGAAAGAATAGCAACTGGAAACAAATGAGACGGAGAGCCCAGGAAGAAGTCAATGGAAGAATCCTGGTTGTTAGTCTATGATTCACAAAGAGTAAGTAAGTAAGTGTTGTTTTGTGAGCAATGTTGATTTTAAAGGGCTTGAAGATCCTTGTGATGGGTTTCTGAGATATTTCACGCATATGCTAGGACAATCTGTATCATGGCTTCGGAGATCGGTTTTTTGATGGTTTGTTTATTGGCCAGAGACCATTTGATGAGTTTGTTGGAGAAGGAATTCGGACAAAAGATCCACTGAAGATGAGTTTTTCCAATTTTTTGTGTAATGAGGAAGCTGAAGTGCGTTTTAGTTTTTCTGAATAGTGTCTGAACACAACTTCATTTTGTGTGCTGTTAAATTGTTACTGCTGCGTATGTGTTCACATAGGTGTGAACGGAATTTTTAAAATTAAATATTGTATAGAAATTCTTTAGTGTTCTGATACTAATAATAATATTTAATGAAAATAAATATAGAATATATTTACTAAGAACGAAATTACTGTGGTCAGCTATGTACATGAATACATATGTACGTAAATTCATTATGACAAGTCAGTAAACATTAAGGAAACATGTATAAATATGCATATAAATCACACCATTACATATATCGATAAAAGTGTGATACTGAAAAGACGAGATGTAGCTAGATTTCTACCAATACACATACCATCATCGTGTCGAGAACTATAACTGAAATTTTCTTTCGGTGAACTCGAACAAGTGATATTTGTTCCATTCAATACTTCTTTATTAAGGTTAACATGGTTGTTGCAATTATTTGTAGTTGTGGTATTATGATTATCATTATGCTCTGCAAAAAATCCAGGAGCTATATAACTGAATTCACGAAATAACGCATGCGCTGATGCACTGGCTGGTGGACATGGAGAGTCTGTAAGTTGAAAGCATTTGAAAAAAACGTCAAGAAATTCTGCTTACGTAGAAATATTTAGTGAACAAGATAACTAATAATGTATACAACATCGTACAAACGCAAGGATAAATAAATAATGAAGAATAAAATATTTAAGATTTTGCGAAAAAAAATACTGAGTGTATCTGTTATTGTTATCGAATGAAGGTTACAACTTAACTACACTAGATCAGTTAGATGACCTCTAAACAAGAGATTAATCCATAAAGGAGTGAAAACAAAATATTTAGTTTTCTACAATGTTTGACAGGAGTGGTGTTAAACACTATTTCTAACTGCTATTGATCTTTATCATTAATTCAAATGGCAATGCTTCATCTGTTGTAACATGACTGAGTGAAGTTGAAAAAAGTACGTCTAGAAACATAATATACTTGTTGCCAACTCCTTACAAGAACATCGAGTACCATGAAATCTATGAGACCATGTAATTTTAATTTTTATACATGCAGTGAATAATCTAACAAAAAAAGTGAACCGGAGCAGAACACGATCTAGATTTAAAATCTGTTCAGTAAACATTAAAAGTATTTACAAAACTAACTTATCAAAATGCACAACTATAGTCCCCAATACAACAGGAATAAGCATAACACTTAACTACGAAATACCTTTTGCTGTAATTAAAAAAGTTCACATTTTCAACTTTAATCGATTTGAAAAGTTACTCTCAAATACTATCGAAGTTTATTATTGTAATTTGATAAATTGCCCAAACGTTTATTGCGTCATATATATATATATATATATATATATATATATATATATATATATATATATATATATATGTAATATTCACTTTCATTAACTACTCATTATAAGAAATTGTATCTCTGTTATAAACATTGTAGCAAATACCTACCATGTGGTGTACGTGATGTATATTCTGAATCGAAATTTAGGATATCATTAATTGATGAGCAAGGAGGTTTAAATGGTGGTTGAATACAACCATTTAGTAAATCATCCCAATTGATTGTATTGAAAAATTCATGATTTTTTAAATGTTCAAATCCATCAGGTCCATATCCTAGCGTGGGAAAAAAACAAAAAATTTGGTATACAGAAAAAAACTTCAAACGATAAACTTAACAATAAACACAAAATTTATTGGAAAGGCCTATGACACGGATTTATCAACCGGAATCGATATTTAAATAATTTATTTCATGGAATTAGGTTCTTGATTAAAAAAACACTATAACTACAAAAACAAAAAAATGGACATAGAACATGCGATTTTTGGACTATAATAGTAATAATAATAATAATAATAATAATAATAGTAATAGAAGTCTCAGGACGGCTCACCGTCCAGCGTAATTGTTGATCAAGTGCACTGAATAGTTGTCTATGTTAGAACCAATCAAATTCACCACTGTATTCAGTAAATACAGCAAGTGTTACTAAGTTTGTTGACTAGGCACTGAGAAAACTCTTAAGTTTATGAAGTGTTAAGAGTTCTCTATTGCCATTAGTACTGTTAATATCTTCACTACTCTCCAACCGATAAACTGAATAAAAAAAACCACTTCTAATTGAATTAAATGTCTCAAAGATATCCCAGGAGTTTTCAAGAAAGATGCAGAGTTAAAATTAATATTAAAATCCTGTCTTTATGAAAACATAGAGCGTGTATAATTCCTTGTGCTTTCGAATCGTTGATTCTCACAGTCCGAAGGACTAATGCCGTAGTGTATTTAGGAAGAATGTCTGTGCACAAGTCTTGAGTCAAATATTTAGGGCTAGGTCCCCTTTATGAAAGATTAATCTCCCTACTTCCCGGACATAGCTACACTTAATTTCATTCCATTTTCAGAACATAAAGTAGTCACTTAACGGTAAAACGGGGAAAACTTGAAGACAATAGAGCAGGAAACAACGAGATAGCCGAAGAGTCGGACTTCTAACAACTTACAGAAGTGTTTTGAGCAATGGAAAAAAACTGTACAAATGTATCTCAGAAAATAAGTAATATTTTGTATAAAAAACTATTGATATATCGTGAAATTTGTAAAAATAATATCCCCTCAGTTCGTGTATTTATTGAACAGACTGTATTTAATTCAAAATTAGGTAAGTGGTACCACAAAACATCTATACACCTTACTGTGTATAACTAAACAGCTTTAACTATAAATCTCTTAATATCCAGATAATTATTGATTGTTGGATTTTTAAATTCCTAACTGTTTAATTGGAAATGTATTGAGCACAGTTAATAAAACACTGTGAATTAAGTGACCATGACAATATAAAGGGTTTAGAAAGTATTGAAGCTATTTAACTGTTTCGGCAGTTAATGACAATATCATTGGTATCTATTTATTATCAATTAAACGAATATCATACAATAATCCAATCATACTGATAAAATTAAGAATAAATACAAAAAATGTAACAATTTCTTCATAATTATCATAGTTTTAATGATTATATCTAAATTCAGTAGTATCTTATATTTAATGTATCATTGGAAGTCCAAAACACTTATCAGTTAAATTACATCTTATTCATGGAGGGAATTAATTTGGATTTAAATAAACTTGTATGCCTTTATGATTTTCTTTCAAAAAAAAAGCAAACCACTGAATTATTTGACATGAAAGGCATTCACTTTTAGCCTATACTAACTAGTGAAAGAAATGCAAATTGCTGCTTGTGTACAGCTCTTATGAATCTATTATGTAAGCAGTAGGTTTCATTGTTTTGTGTATATAAACAGGTAGACAAGCAGCTAGATAAGAAGAAACAGACAACTTCAGTTTTCCAACTTAAGAAATCAAATTGTATCACATTTTTCTGCAATCCATATCACTACCAAGAATAATCGTAGAATATAATCAATGTAAATAAAACAACAAATACTACAATCAAAATTAAGGGATTATATAATATATATATACGCATATGCCTCTTTAGTTAACTCGAAGTTCCTGCTTTTTAAAGAATACATCGATTTGGTACAGGTATGGACAACCTTATCAGTATTCTTGTTACTTTTACTAATAATATTATCATTATTGTTCAATCCCATCAGTTTCTCAAGCTTCACGGTGTTTTTGGTTATAACTAGCTAACATGAAACAATAGAATAAAAATGGGTCTAAACAAATCTCCTCCAATCGGTATTCTTGTTCTGTTTAATGGGCTTAGTATGTACATTCAATTAGGTAACTTCTGCCATACTTAAATATCATCATTTTGTTTAGCTTGACATCATTTTAAGTGATCTGATCAAACAAATTTTCGAACACTAGTCATGCCTACTGTGTAATAAATATGTGCAGTTATAGATCTCCGGCTCGACCCCTTCAAAGGCTACTGCCGGTCCCATCCCCGGATAAGAGAGTAGGGTTAGGGATAGAGGTGCCAACCCTTGCAAAGAAACGCTAGCCAAAATAACTACTTAAACTCTGCTGTGGGAATTTAGGATTCTTCGTATAGAAGGGTTATGACACCTCAAGGTAAAAGCCGGGATTATTCAGAAGAGTTGGTTCAAGATCCTTTATCGGCGGCCTATGCCTCCAAGGGAAGTAACAGGCTTAAGCAGTAAATGGTCGTATACAAAAACATATATATACCTGAAGATTCAAACAGAATTATCATATGTAGAAAGTAATCATTCGAATAAATAAAAACGACAATCAACTAATGAGATAATTTAGTAAGTATAAAATCTGTTAGATAAATAATTCAGTAACAGTTTTCTTCTTACCTAGCCGATTCGATGGAGTTCGTTTGAAAAGAGCACGTAGTAAACTTTGAGCTGAAGGACTAAGAAACTGTGGCATTGATAATTTAGCTCTAAAAAACAAAACAAAATCAAGTTTAGTAAACAAAATGGTCATACAAAATAAAATATTTATTTTGCAATTAGTTTACCAAGCTATTTAATAAGCTTGTTTTTTTGCAACAAAATTAACTCGTGATAACGTTGTATGTTCATTATCGTTTCATGATAGTTTATAAAAATAAAGAGATCTACAACATCAAGTAAATTAGTGGAAATTCTTTCTAACTTCTTTCCGTTTACTTAAATCAAACAGATTTCAATGCCAAATCTATGACATAAATTGACTTGATTTATGTTTACAGGTATAGTAAAACAAAATAGTCTATTCATTCCATCTTGATTCGTATCCAATTAAAAACTAGTGTGCATAAAACACAATTAACTCTATTCAAAATGTTCATCACTTCATAAGAAAACTAATCACAGTTTATCTGAATAAGCTATTTAGTTAAAACAGAGTAAATATCCGAAATCATAAACTAGAGGCTATTTTTAGAGAATTTCAATAGTATTATAAAGTGAAAGTTAACAATCAAGAGAGAAATTAGCTTTCAAATGTAACCAAATGAAACCCAATATAAATTGGTGAGAAAAAACAATTTGTCTTAAAATTTAATGTAATATGACACAATACATACTGATAATGTCACTGCAGGATACATAATCTTTTGATATGCAACATAAATGTCTATTTTACCGGTTATTGAACCTAAAAATTTATGTGTTTTTAATAAGTTTAGACTAACAGCTTTAGGATTTTTAGTTTGATTTCAAAATAACATGCTACATTCAAGAGTAGAACAATTCTTATCAATCTAATTATATTTTAACAGTTGAATTCACGAGCCAATCTAAGCTAGACCACCATTGAAAACCTGTAAGTACTGGACGGCCGTTTTGTCCTAGAATGAAAATTCTCAGCAGTTTGCATCCACGATCCCGAACACGAGACTTGAACCCAGGGTCTTCAGTCTCAAATTATAACCATTTCATTGCAATATTTTCACATACATATTTGGGAGATATTTCTCAGGAAAATTGAAAAACCAAAAGCTAACACTTGAACAAGTCAATAAAATCAATTAATATGCACACTTTAGTTATTTACATTCAAACAACTATACATTGAAATATTCTATAATTTTTTTTCTAATTATGTACTGAATAACAAAACACAGAATACTCAGTCGTACAAAAGAAAAATATCTTAACATATACTACACAATAAACAGTAAATAAGAAAAAGATTAAAATTAAGGCATTGAAATGAACTCTTTAATTTCATTTAATTTACTCATAATATAACCTGTAAAAAATTTTTGTTTCTGACACAGAAATATCTTATTCTGAAAAATAAAAATAAAAAACATTTTACATACTTTTAAATATTTTACAATTTTTTGTTGTTTAATCTGTACAATACAACATTATTATTATGTTAGATAATATAATTTAGGAAAGTAAAAATCTAAGTTATATAGAAATTATACGTGGTAAAATAGATAAGTTATTTCCTTCTTAAAAGTGTGAAGGTGAACAAGGTACATTACGTGTGAGTTGTTAAGTACTTGATATTTTATTGATTATCAGACGGTAACATCAACAATTACTAGTCGATGTACACACTGTGTTGTGATGAACTGAGTACATGTTTATAAATGTAAAGATAGAGTTGGTAATGAACTTGCAAAAGTGATTAGTTTAGGATTGAGAACCACTTTTTTCAATAAGAAGAGAAGTTTGTTTGAAACAATTAATTGTAATGAAGCTATTATGTGCTGTGCATAGCAACAAACTTATAATGGCAGATAGAAGTGAATGTTGTTTTTGGTGGGGCCATCAAACGATGTGCTCTACAAAACAATAACTATATTTCACAGATAAGGAAGAGAAAAGACCATGTACCATAAATCTGAGTACAAAGTAAACAGTCAAATGAAAATATTCTGAAGTGAAATTTCAATTTTCGTGTAGGTTCATTCAAAGGCATCAATTATGTAAACATCAAGAAAATAAACCTATTTTGTGGTAACCATTTGGTTTAGATTACAAAATCCATTTTTAATCAGTAGTTTAAGTAATTCTTAGAACATCAATCTTAAGAATTGGACACTAAGATAGATTTTAACTACACACATTCATTCTTACGTACAAAGGATCATTTCATAATCTGACCATGTATCAAGTTATTGTAGTTAATCTTATGAGCCACGAAAAATGTCAAACTAAAGGTCACTCTCATGAAAGCAATTACTACGGAAGAACAACAATTTAAACAATATAAAACTGGTAACTTATCCCCCACATATTTGGAGTATAACAGCATTGTACAGTTGTACATTAAAACATATAAATACGTTGTCACATCGTTACATACAATCAGTTTAGAATTATCGTGTAATTATTCAGCGGTACAATTATTCTCCTATCACGCTTGATTTTTAACAATTCAATTTCTATGAGAATGCTATTTCCTATATTGTAGAAAAGCTACATTTCAATAGTGAGTTGGAAATACTACAATCATAAACGTCTTTAGTTAATTTTTTTGCAAACCATGTGTGGTATACAATATTGTCTCCGTGTCAGTAAGTTAACTATACATGACATCGAACTTGAAACATATGTATATCGGTTCAAGTTGTCATGCCACACTAGCACAGTGAGATGAAATTGTCTAAACGAAACCAAGAGTAGTAGAAGTATGAAAGATATCAGTAGTTGTAGAAGAGATTAGGTATTTTCCGATAAAAAACATTCACGATAATACTAGACACTTTATTCAAGTCTCAGTGATTCACATCACTTAACAAACAAATGAGAGAAAAATCTTAGACAAAAAATACTACTTTTCATCAAACTCATATAAGAACAATATCTATACTGAATCGTTAATTATTAATAAGGATTTTGATGTTACAGTTGTATATTATTTATATGAAAATGAAGGAATAAATAAATTCTCCTCTCCATGTCAAAAAGCAAAAAAGCTGACCAATGGTTTATTATTAATTATAATCATTAAATCTGTTAGTAGGATCATAAACATCTTTGATTAAATCTACCAATTCTTCAAGTGAAAAAAGCCTATTAACGGTTTACCGTTATCTCAAATTGCTAACCATTTATCTGAATGATCTATGTTCCATCTGTTAAATTGATATCACTCTATTAATTTGCAGTAGAGAAATGTAATTAAAGATTCTGCTTTACTTGACTATACACAACTTTAAGGAAGCTGTCAACAGAAAGTCGACTGTTAGGTAGTTGGATGTAGTTGGCAGGAAACTCATAAGCAGTAGGTCAGTAGCTGCACCGATAGAAGAATTGTGGTAATGTCTCAGACTGTGAAATTGAGGGGGGTGATGAGAGCGGGACATAGACTAGATTAAAGCATGCTCAACGCACGATTGCTTTGGTGCACGCTGATTGGCTAATGCTTATCCAATCAGCACTAGTCGATAGTTGGAGAATACTCTAGAATCTTCTTATGTAAAAAAAACTATAAATATACTGACGTTTTCCCTGTTGTGCTTCTTACTTGCTTCTTGCTTCCATCTAACCTTGTTATTTGGAATATAATCTCTTTCCTGTTCAACCGTGTTCTGATTTGGGGACTTGTCGAGTGATTCGGTGTCCAAGAATACTAAGCAATAAGAATAGCTGGGTCATAACCGTAAGAAAGAGATTATAACAGGTGAGTACGAATCCTACAAGGAGTATTAATGCCCTCAAGACTGCAGATATTTTTTATTAACAGGGTTTCCTCCTGATTACCTATAACTCCCTAAAATCAAAACATACTGCACACGACGCCAAGCACTTAGAATAGTGACCCCACTGCAGCTTGATCACATGAATTAAAAAACAGTAGTGAAAGCTTGGTCAATATTCTTTGTAGTTTCAATCTACAGCCGAAATCGATTATAATACTCTTGTCAGTATTTAACCGATGCAATAATGTACGTCGTTTCACAAAAGAGTATCCAAGAAGAGCGCAAATTGTATTACAGATAATTTGTTGTGAGAGTAAAACTTATTAGGAATAAATGAGCAAACTTTTTATCTATAATTTGTCAGTCTATGTTGATTATTACATTGAAATTATTGGAATGATCATTTAAAATATATCTTAGTATGATGAAAAAATTATTAATGTTATTTTATTATAATGTTTATACATTTTGAATATTTAGTCATACTACATGACCAAGTTGGTTTTAGTTACATTAAATACAGAACTTTTCCAAGTTTATCGATTTAAACCAATTATTAGTAAATTGAGGAAGACATTAGTTAAAAAAATATATCACAAACTCATCTCCGCTTATAATTTCATACTAGGAAGTTCGCAAACGGAAAGCTCTCAAACTGATCAAGACTTTGTTTGAAGATCATTAACTTTAGTTCCTCCTTTCTAAAGCCAAATATTTTGATTAATAAGCGGATAAGATAGTGCGACTGCTCGTAAATGAAATCATGCAATTTGGCTTGCATACGATGTGTAGATTCATCAGTAAATACGCACCTGCCCATTCACCATCGTTTAAATGCATCACTATTAAGTTTGAGATCACGTCACAACCGATTATTTTTGTCATCCTGCAGAAAAATGTAGCTTCGAAAGTCTTACGAGGAGAAACGGTTTGTTTAAATAACTCATAGTTGACTCAGCACGGTAGAAAACCAGCTTCCATAGTTTTCGCTCACGTGAAACATGTTTTGGCAAGCGTCGTTGTGTCGACAGTTCTCGGTTTGATGCTGGCTTCCGCGCATCTTTAATGGTTTCAGTTCGTGCTTTATAGCAATAATTTTAGGACTTATGCTTCGTTTGTAAAATTTTTATGTCAGCTTTATTCATGTCTTCCAAGTCAATAAAGCCTGATATAATTATGGTTTCATTGAGTAAACAGGTCCACGCTGATCAATCTTGAAAATCAGAATTGGGTTTGTCATCTTGAGAATGAAACAATGATTCAATAAAATCATTGTACGAGTTAAGGTTAATATCTAACAA